GAGTGTTATGTAGAAACTAATTTGACAATAAACTATTTGTAAAAAAAAATAAAAAAATAAAAAAATAAAAAACAAAAACAAAAACAAAAAAACAAAAACAAAAACAAAAAACAAAAACAAGGAGTAGGACAGGAATATCTCTAAAGCACCTTTCATCTACAAACCTTCAGTGGTTCTGTGATTCTGTACACCCTGACCTAGCACCAAGTGTTTTCTTAGTCAGTGTTAAGTACCTATTTAGCAATTACAGGTTAAAGAATCACTGAAAATGCTATCTCTCCCAATATCATATCAAATGCCATTTATTATCTAAAACATTTTATAATCTTTTAAAATGAGATTACATTTGTTCTGATAATTCTATTTCTTTTCTATTTTTGGTTCTGCTTGAAGTTGTTGTGTATTGATTTGATTTTACAAATTCACTAGGGTGAATATAGTATCAAGGAAGCTAAGATTATGTATGCAAATGTACTACATAGGTACAGACTTCTTTGATAATTGGCAAAATAAATTATAGTAGTTATGAGAAAAAATACTTAAATTTATGTTTTAAATTTTTATGTCTTTAATAAGTATTGAAAGAATAAAATTTCCTTGGGAAATATCCTTGCATAACAAACAGTCTAAAATTAAAACTTCTCTTTTTATAAGGTGATTTTTTCACCAAAGGAATATATTTCGCCATCTTTCAGACCAGAATATATAGAATTCAAACCAAAATATCAGGTGAGTCCTGAATTATCCTATCCCAATAACAATTATATTTAAATACTAGACTTCTCTAATACTTTATATAATTCAGTGGTTCCTAAACCAGACTACCCATTAGAAGCATCTGGCTATCTTTGAAAAAATACATGTTCTCAGGGCCTACTTCTGACCTGATGAAGCTAAATCTGGGAATGAAGCCTGGGAATCTGTATTTCTCAGAAAAACCCAGGGGATTCTTATACTATTACCTGGATATCAACTAACTTTTGAAAAACAGTTATAATAAATTGTATCCATTACAATGAAGCTTGAACTAATAAGTTGATATAAACTAAAACAAATACTAGGCTGATTATTTCACATTTTACCTTTTTCAACTGGATAATGTATAAGTCATATTAACAAACACAAGAATATGTTTCATAAAATTGGAATAAGAGCGATTTCAAAGTCTATTTCATGATAAACTACTTGATTCCCAGAGCTACAAAACTGCCCATGGATATTACACTGGAATTTCACTGTAATCCAGAATGTTTTTTGTAGTGCTCTCTCTTAACCATTTGTGAGGCATATATGATATTCATCAAAAAGCAAAACTCTGCTGTGACATGCTAAGGAGTGGGTGGAATTCATCATCACTGTTGAAATTCTCAGACTTAAAAGCAGATGACATATGCTCCCAAGTTAGTCATTATAAAATATTTATGATACTTTTAATGGGATATCTACTACTTGCTTTGCATTACAAAAATGGTCTATATTGCTACTAAAATGGTAAGTATTTCTATGGATAGGACTTAGATCCTGATGTTAGCCATTGTCTAAATAAGCACAGCTACTCTGGAAATTAAGTTTTTTAAAAAAGCTATGTATGAATGCTGTTTATGTATTTTAAAAGATTCTAGGTAGGAAAAAAAGTTCTTGGATACAAAATAGTATCAGAATTATGAATTTTAAAATTTTGCATTAAAATTTGCATCATTCCGATTTCAAATATTTAAAATAAAGTTTTCTCTTTGTAGAAGGTAGGTGGATATGTAGATACTTTGACAGATTGAGCAAAGAAAATTTAACTAGAAAATTTATTATAAGTTCAAATAAGTACTATAGAATTTCTTACCTTTTGTTTTTAATATTACAGTTCCAGAAATTCAACTTTAAGAATGGTTTTGATCCTTTTCTAAGAAATATAAACAACAAAATGTCAGTCAGAAAAAAGAAAGACCAAGATATGTCCAGATGTAGAAACGTTTTAAGTGCAGAGGTTATAGAGCATGAAGACCAAGATCCTCCTTACCCAACATATTCAAAAACTGCAAGACCTACTGATAAAACCTGGCTACGTGATCCTGGTAACACCACAGTAAAGACTTTAGACACTAAGACTAAGTTAGCCCATGATCCTGATTTCATCACAATAAAGACTTTAGACACTAAGGGTAATTTTGCCCATGATCCCAGTATGACCACAATAAAGACTTTAGATACTAAGAATAAGTTAAAAGAAAGACTACCAAATGTATCTCTACCAAACTTTGAAGGGGAATCGTCAATGACTAGAAGTGTAAATGCATGTCGCCTCACGAAATCATTAAGTCTTACTTCCCACCTAGAAAATTTAAAACAATCAATGATGCTCAAGTCAATTTTAGGTAAAAATCTGCAAGACCTATCAGATAAATTATTTTCTAAACCAGAAGTTCCTATCGACACTGAAACAAGAAAGAAAAGTCTTAGTTCTCCACTTATACGTGTTCCTGATGAACCACCAACTAGTGTGGAAAACAAAGTATTTGAAAAACTTCAAGATTTAAATAGCTTGCTTTCAGACAAAGACATTGTAATTTCAAAGTCTCTTTTAAGACAAATAATTAAAGATATTTCTGCAGATTCACTTTCAGAAGGTGAACCAAGAAATTCTCCAGAGGTAAAAGGGGAACTTGTCTCTGAAAAACACTTGGAGTCTGGTGAGATTGATTTTCCAATTAAAACAAATAATTTCAAAAAGAAAAATTCCAAAATTGGAGTGTCTAGTCCTCAATCCAGTGTAAGCAGACTTGCACATGATTATGTTATAAAGCAAATATTCACTGCACCTGTCTTCTCAGAGTTGGAAATAGGAATGAAAGAATCGAGTAAGGTACCGATAAATTTGCAGAATCAATTACCCGCTGCTTGCGAGAGTTTATCTTCAAATATTCTACTTCACTATGAAGAAAATGATGAAATAGAATTCCCACAGGCCAAATCTGTTATAAGCCAGATAATACAAGCATTTCCTGTAGATAGTCTTTTAGAATCTGGGATAATCAAAGTGATAGAATTAAATAAAGAATATCAGAAGAGTTCCATGCTGAATACAGGGACAGCCTTTGCTGAAGAAGAGCCAAAGTATTCCACAGAGGATTATTCAGAAACCCAAAGCAAAACAGAACCTCTTTCAGATCAGAATATACTCATCATTCCCAAAGAAACTACTTCTTTTAATAGAATTGGATATGTGGATGAAGATGAAGGCCAAAACATATCCCCACAAGATTCACAATATCAGTCAACACCAGATAAAAAAACAGATATGCTAAATAACAGTCAGAGGTTTGATAGAAAAGAAAATGATCTAGATTCTACTTTAGAAAATTTAAGTAACTCATTAATGGGTAAACTTAATGATTCAGATGTAATAATGTTAAAATCCTTTTTAAAACATATGTTTAGTATTTTCTTCAAATATAATCAATCTGAAAGTAGACAACCAGAAAAAGAATTAGAAAGGCTAATCCAGCATCCTTTTCCAAATAATATAGAAGACCTTGAAGAAATCAAAGAGAATTCTGGTAAAGCAGATAAATTAGACAGAAAGCCTATTTTGAGTCCAAAGTTGCGTGTATTTCTAGAAGAACTCTCAGAGTCAGAAATAAAAAATTTAAAATCTGAACTAAGTAAACATATCCAACATTACCTTGTAGAAAGACTTTCAGAATCTGGACACATCACTAAAGAAGACTTACCAAAAATCTATCATAATCTGTATTTGATGAATGAGAAAGTAGAACCAAAAGGGCAGAATATTTTTCTGGAAAAATATTCAGAAACTGTGAAAGAAATTGTGTCTTTTGTAAATAATTTTAATCATCATTTCATAGATAAGCATTTGGAAATAAAGCTAAGATCTTTTTTAAATGAAATTCTCCAAAACTATTTCCTAAAAAACCTTTCAGAAAGCAGTTTATTTAAAGAGACAGCATCTGAGGCTATACTCTCAAACATGTCTTCTCTAAGATCTAGAAGTGCCTCAGTATCTTTTCATGAGTTAGGACAAGACATTTCAAGGGGGAGTTTTGGTGAAAGACTTGACATAAACATGAAATATCCTTTAAATAAATCACTACAAAACTATCTTAAAGCTTTATCAGAAAATGAACTATTTAATCTAAAAGCTGATTTAAGCAAACACCTCCAGAGTCTTTTTATAGAAAAACTTTCAAAATCAGGACTAGTCACAGAAAGGCAATTAGAGGGGATCAACCAGCATATAAATTTGATCAATACTAGATCCATACCATTAAAATCTATAACGCCAGATTTATCTTTTAGAAAAGAAAATGAGTTTATGGAGGAGAACTCAGAAAAGCAAAATAAATATTCAAAAATTGTTCAAGAAACCACTTTACAAAAAGTTCCTGAGGATATAATTACAGAAACAGAACTAACCAAAAAGAAAGAAAAGGATTATTTTTCCTTACAGAACATTAAGGAAAATCCATCAATAATTGAGGAACAGAAAGGACACTCTCCTAAAGAAGAAGCCAAAATACTGAGATTAATTAAAGTACAACCTTCTTTCAACAAAAATACCCAAGCAGTTCTATTAAATAAGTCATCAGAAAGACTTACAGATATAGTACTTAAGAAACAAAGGAAAGAACATGGTTTTATGCAGCTTTCTCAAGCAGAAAATTGTGATTTTAAAACAGAAGTTCAAGACCCACATAGTTGGAGTGGTAAATCAAAAACAACTCAGTCAAATGCTTGCTTTGAAAGGACACTAAAAATGAAGTCCCTTGAAAAAACGGAGCATAATAACATCTATAAACTGATGGCACAAGAAAAACTTGAAACAGTACAATCACCATATCTAAGAATACCTAATTGCAAAATGCCAAATGAAAATGAAGAATATCTATACAGATATACTTTTCCTTCTAGGCAGACTGACACTTTTACTCATTTCAATTTAGAGGCTAGGGAGAAATCAAACTTAGAAGAGCTGTATTTTCAGAGATTGAAAGGAAATAATAACAATAATAAAAAACATTTAGTAACATTTGCACAATACAAAAAAATACAGACTCTTTCTCTAAAGACAAATGAAATTTGCAATGAAAAATGTTCCAAGTTCCCTGAATTACAGTCATTTAAATATCAAATTGTGGAAGCTGAGAAAAACTCAAAACCATTTCTCTTCCCAGAAGTATTAAAGAGAGAAAATCTAAAGCCCAAGATCCGAAAAGAAAGAGACCATGTCAACAAACAAAAGAAGTCATTTAGCAAAATAGTTAGGATACTACCAACCACACTGCCCACTGCAAGAATTCTAAGGAAATCTGTTCCAAGGACATTGCTTCATTGGACTGCAAGAAGAACTATACATGTAATACTGTTTTTCTAAGTCTACTACTTTTGTATTTGGTAAAATTTGTAAATCTATTTTAGGGCATATATATCTCTATGCAAGTGTGTGTATAACCTTCATAGATAACCCCCAAGATATATAGACCTTCAAATTAAAAAAAAATTCTTCTGACAATCAGATTTTACCTTACCCAATTCAAAATGCAGTCACAAAATCAGGGGACTGCTAACACACTTAATGCCTTTGTATAAAATAGATAAAGGGTACTCCCTCTGGAGCATGAATTAGAAAAAGGCACCCTTTCCTCTGGGAAGACTGTAGACTGAGCACCTAGAGCCAAAGCACAGAGCTCTGTCTATGGAAAACTGGCTGGATTTCAGCCATCACTCACCCCTCAGCCAGGGGCTGCTGTACAGGCACAACCTATACAATTATTGGCAGTGGCTGTATTTTGTATTCATGCATATATAGGTATATATTTTTCAGATTGCTGAATTATCTTGGTTTCAGTAAACAAAGATATTATGTGCCAGTTATTGTGATAAGCATTAGGGATATGCAAAATATACAATCTATTGGATTATGAGTGGAAAAATTTTAACTTCTACTCTCTTCTATCACCACTGCTCCTCTGCTTATGTGCTGAGAAATTTGAGAATTCAAATCTATTCATAATATTAACATAAAACAATTAGGAAGGTAAAACTGCTACCAGAGTTTATACAAACCATTCTGAAGCAAAGTTAAAATCTAGGGATAGAAGGGACTTATTTTAATTTTCTGGACTGCTGCTCTTCTCTGTTAATATATATAGATAGACAGGCATGACACACAATTGGGAGAACCCCTAAATCCCAAAATGATATTGCATAGATAATTTGATGTGCATAATCCTTTGAATGAGAAAATAGATCTAATTTATAATAGTTGCTTTGAATTTGCTTTCCATAGTAAAGCAAATATTTAGCTTTAGTACATAGTAAAATTGGTAGCTGAAATATATTATCAATTTAACTTCTACTCCACTTTGGATTTCTCTTTTCTATCTAAATTTGGTAATTTAGCATTGAGTGTGTGTGTTGTGCACACGTGTGTGTACCTACTAGAAAAAGGAAGTTGAAGATGGGTCCATAATTTGGTGAAAGTAAAGACTTTCTGAAGTTCCTTTAGACAAATGGAATCTTTAATATCACTTTTCCTAACAAAAGAAGAAATTGTGGTGGTTTTTTTTTTTATCATATGAGATCATACAGGATTTCAGAAACTTTACCCTAAGAGTAGGCAAGAGAGGTAGAGTTATCTTTACTTTCCTCTGTTAAACGAAGAGTACCTAAACTTTTCTCTCTAGTGAAGTTGACAACAGAGAATTGAGTGATAGGAGGGCATTTTTTCAGATCATCAGAAAGACTTGTTCATCTGATTCTTTTCTAAAATCTGAGAATCTCTCAAAGGAATCAAAATGGAAGACAGAGAAATTGAGTTTTAGGAGCATCCAGAAAAATAACCAGTTGTGTGGGTGACCAGGCCCTTCCACTGTCATTCTAGTGATCTAGTGATCAGTAGATCTAGTGATCTAATCTGTGAAGCAAGAATGATATATTACTCACCAAAATAGCAGAAATTCCTCAATAATGTGGCTTACCTAATTGCTCCACTTACATAACAGAGAAGAGAAAGAATGTTTCCTTGCTGTCTTCAAACCCAGACAAAATTGTAGGTAGAATTTGTCTTTACACTCTATACCTCCTTTTTTGTAAATCTCTTTTTTACTGCCTCAATTCTCTCAGTCCTGCACAACCTCTTCTCACCCTCCAGTTCTATTAATTCACTCCCACATTCCCTCCAAATCAGAATATTTTATTCCTTTGGTGTGGCTATCTCTGCAAAGTGTTAAGGGACAAGATGCTCAAACCGTGGAGGAATCTAGTTTATACTGGATTAGGAATGACTAATAGCTCCATACACTGTTACAGATAATTGTAGGTTATTACATGTTTATTATAAAATGTAGTCAAGTATATAAAATTGAAAAAAGAGAAAATGAAAACAAAGCCCATAATCCTACCACCTTAACCATCATTTTAAAAACTAACTTTGTTGTATATTCTTCCAGTTATTTTCCTAAAAGTTTTACTTGTTAACTCTCGGAATGTACATAATATTTTTTACTTTAATATAAACAGTATGACTATGTCCTTAAATGCCAGGCTCTGTATGTGTGTGTGAAAGTATATTAAAGATGTTTATTACCTTTTTTAAAAAGAATGAAACTCTAGATCATATAAAGTATGAGTTTATGACTTACATTTGGGATTGGGGAATATGTTTTGGAGAAGAATTATAGGCTGACTGGCTTTGTCTAGGAGTCTGAACCCTAAGGACAGCTCTCCTAATTTTTTTCTGATTTTCAGCGTCATATTTTCAATTCATTTTAAAGTAACAAATCTGGGGTACCTGGGTGGCTTAGGTAAGAATCTAACTCTTGATTTTGGTTCAGATCATGATCCCTGGGTCATGAGATCAAGCCCCGCATGGGGTTCTGTGCTGAGCATACTGAGTGTGGAGTCTGTGTAAGGTTCTCTCTATCCCTCTGCCCCTCCCCACTTGCATGCATGTGCTCTCTTTCTCTCTTTCTAAAAAAAAAAAAAATGAAAAAGAAAAACAGATCCTTTGAAATAAGACTTATTTAAAAAATGTTTTTAAACATTTATTCATTTTTAAGAGACAGAAACAGAGCACGAGTGGGAGAGGGCAGAGAAGGAGGGAGACACAGAAACTGAAGCAGCATTCAGGCTCTAAGCTGTCAGCCCAGAGTGCAATGTGGAGCTCAACCCACAATCTGTGAGATCATGACCTGAGCTCAAGTTTGGAGACAGCCAACTGAGCCACCCAGGCGTCCCCAAGGCTTATTTTTTTAAGTATGGTTTCTATGGTAGTATCTAGTAGGAGGCATTGGGTGTAGGATCTGAATTTGGGGACTGCCTATAAAATACTTGATGCTCTCATTCTTTGTCTTTAACTGTTGATATTACAAACTCTAGTTCTTATAAATTTAAAATGTACTTTTCAGAAAACTAACTCACCAACTTGATCTTTTATTTTAATATTTAGGATTGTTCGGATAGATTTGAGGATATACCTGTGAGCTCACTTAAGCATGTTGAACAAGCAAAATCAAGAGCAAGGCTTTTAGGAAAGAGCCCAGATGATAGCCATAATCAGTTAAAACACTTTGCAAGACCAAATACTGCTCCAGAGGTTAACAAACGACGAGAAAGCCACAATGGAAAACTGACAAATTCTCGAATGGTTTCAGCAGGCTTAGTTCATATAAATGATGCAATCCCAGATTATGAAATCCATAGAATGCGGCAAAAAAAGAAATTAAAAGAAAATATTGAAAAGTGTTCGCTCATTTGTGATATTATCCAAATGTTAAAAATTCAGAATGATATGTAAAGCCAACAATCAGAATATCATTTCTCCAGTTAACAAAATGGTTTGGAGATCTGTCCTTTTGTGTGATAGAAGTCAGCAACCAAATTTCATCTTGTTAGAACCACTGTTTTAATTAAAGTGAAAAACAAGCACTTTTGATGTAAATGTGTTTTTGTTTATGTACCTAAGAGAACAGACCAAAAAATACATCTTTTGTTCTTATTTGTTAAGTTTTATTTCCCAGCTTTTCTCCCTTGTCACTATATAACAGTATCACCAGTTGATAGTTCTCTGATTTCCCAAATCTTTGTTATTCTCTAAATTATTTCTGTCCACCCAATTTTCAGAGTCTTTATTTACAGTTATTTATGTTTAGCCTTTTGTTATTAATATACTCTTATTTTTCAACTCTATATTTTCAGATTCAACAGTATGTATATATCTGGGCTTACAAAACATCTATTTTAATATCATCTGATATTAAACTGCTTATTTATTTTTATGGTTACACTATAAATAAAGATAATAACAGATCTAATACTAATTCCTAAGGCACCTCCTAACTTACTTACCTTTTAAACTTAAAAAACTGTGTTAGGCCTCTTTAATAGCATAAAACTTAGGAAACCACATAAAACTATAGACACTGCATAAAATTAGCAAAACTGACACTGGATTCAAATCAGAAACTTGGGAAAATTGGTTCTGTTCTTTTTTTAAAATTCAAATATAATTAACATATAGTGTTCAACAATTTTTTTTTTATTACTCATTGCTCATCTAGGCAAGTGTACTCTTTTGAGTAGGTTTTAATGTTTATTTTTGAGAGAGTGAGAGAGATAGAGCATGAATGTGGGAGGGGCAGAGACAGGGAGGGAGACAAAGAATCTGAAGCAGGCTCTAGGCTCCAAGCTATCTGCACAGAGCCTGATACAGGGCTTAAATCCACGAACCGTGAGAACATGACCTGAAGTGAAGTTGGACCCTTAACCGACTGAGCCACGCAGGTGCTCCAAAGGCAAGTGTACTCTTAATCTCCTTCACCAATTTCACCCATCCCCTCACACCCTCCCCTCTGGTAATCTTCAGTTCTTAAGAGTCTGTTTTTTGTTGTTGTTTCACTCTTTTTTGTAGCTCATTTGTTTTTTAAATACTAAATAAGTGAAATCATATGGTATTTTTCTCTGACTGACTCATTTTCCTTAGCATTATACCCTCTAGATCTATTTGTGTTGTTGCAAATGATAAAATTTCATTCTTTTTTATGGCTGAGTAATATTCCAGCAGGGTGTGTATGTATCATATTTTCTCTACCCATTTGCCTATCAGTGCATCCTTGAGTTGCTTCCATATCTTGGCTATTGTAAATAATGCAAGAAACGTAGGGGTGCATATATCTTGTCAAATTAGTATTTTTATATTCTTTATGTAAACCTAGTAGTGGAATTATTGGATCATATAAGAATTCTATTTTTAGTTTTTTGAAACCTCCAAACTGTTCTGCATAGTAGCTGCACTGGTTTGTATTCCCACCACCAGTGCAGCAGGGTTGATTTTCTCCACATCCTTACCAACACTTATTATTTTTTGTGTTTTTTGTGTTAGCCATTCTGAAAGATGTGATTTCTCTTGTGGTTTTGACTTGCAGTTTTCTGATGGTGAGTAATGTTGAGCATCTTTTCATGTGTCTGTTGGTTATGTGTATATCTTCTTTGGAAAAACGTCTATTCATCTCCTCTGCCCATTTTAAAATTTGATTATTTGTTTCATGATTTGGGGTTGAGTTGTATAAATTCTTTACATAGTTTGGATACTAATGCTTTATCAGATCTGTCATCGTAAATATCTTCTCACATTCAGTAGGTTTTGCTTTTGCTTTGTTGGTGGTTTCTATTGCATGCAAAAGCTTTTTATTTTGGTGTAGTCCCAATAGTTTAATTTTGCTTTTGTTTCCTTAGCTATAGGAGACATACTAGAAAAAAGTTTCTATGGCTGTTATCAAAGAAATTACTGCCTATGTTTTCTTCCAGGAATTTTGTGGTTTCAGGTCTTACATTTACGTATTTAACCTATATTGAGTTTTTGTATATGGTATAAAACAGTGGTCCAGTTTCATTCTTTTGCATGTAGTTGTCCAGTCTTCCCAACCCCATTTGTTGAAGAGACTGCCTGCCTTTCTCCCATTGGATATTCTTACCTCCTTTGTTATAGATGAATTGATCTTAAAAGTGTGGGTTTATTTCTGGGCCTTCTAGTCTGTTCTGCTGATCTATGTGCTTATTTTTGTGCCAGTACCATACTGTTTTGATTATTACCTTGAAATCTAGGATTGTGATACCTCCAGTTTTGTCTTTGTTTTTCAAGATTGCTTCGGCTATTCAAGGTCTTTTTTGGTTCCATACAGATTTTAGGATTATTTGTTCTAGTTTTGTTAAAAATGCTGTTGGTATTTTGATAGGGATTGCATTAAATCTGAAGATAGCATTGGTTATTGGGTAGTATGGACATTTTAACAATATTGGTTCCAGTATCATCTTCAGTTATTTTCATCAATGTGTAACCTTTCACCTCCTTGGTTAAATTTATATCCAGGTATTCTTTTTGGTGTAATTATAAATGGGATAGCTTTCTTAATTTCTCTTTCTGTTACTTTGTTATTAGTGTATAGAAATGCAACTGATTTCTGATATTAATATTGTATCCTGTGACTTTATTGATTTCACTTATCAGTTCTGGTAGTTTTTTGGTGGAATCTTTACCATTTTCTATATATAGTATCATGTCATCTGCAAATAGTGGTTTGACTTCTTTACTGATTTAGATGCCTTTTATTTCTTTTTGTTGTCTGATTGCTGTGGCTAGGACTATTAGTACTCTGTTGAATAAAAGTGGTGAGTGTGGACATCCTTATCCAGTTCCTGAATTTAGAGGAAAAGTTCTCAGCATTTCACCATTGAGTATGATGTTAGTTATGGTTTTTTTCATATATGGCCTTTATTATGTTGAAATGTTTCTCTAATTTGTCAATGGTTTTTATCATGAATGGATGTTGTACTTTATCAAATGCTTTTTCTGCATGTTTGATCATATGGTTTTTATCCTTTTTCTTGTTAATTTGATGTGTGGTGTTGATTGATTTGCAAATATTGAACCACTCTTGCATCCCAGAAATAAATCCCACTTTATTGTGGTGGATGATTATTTAAATGTCTTATTGGATTCTATTTGTTAATATTTTGTTAAGAATTTTTACATCTGTGTTCATCAGAGAAATTGGCCTGTTTTAGGTTTTTTTTTTTTTTTTTTTTTTTTTTTTCATACTCTCTATCTGGTTTTGGTATCAGGGTAATACTGACTTCCTGGAATAAATTTGGAAGCTTTCTTTCCTCTTCTAATTTTGGAATAATTTGAAAAGAATAGGTATTAGCTCTTCTTTAAATGTTTGGTAGAATTCCTCTGCGAAGCCACCTGGTCCTGGACTTCCATTTGTTGAAAGTTTTTTGATTAGTGAATCAATATCATTGCTAGTAATTGCTGTTTTCAAATTTTCTATTTTTTCCCTGGTTCTGTTTGGAAGTTTATATTGTTCTAGGACTTTATTTATTTCTTCTAGGTTGTCCAATTTGTTGGCATATACTTTTTCACAATATTCTCTTATAATCCTTTGTATTTCTGTGTTGTTATTTCTCCTCTTTCATTTTTAGTTTTGAGTTCTCTCTTTCTCTGTCTCTTTATTTTGATGAGTCTGGCTAAAGGTTTATCAGTTTTGTTGACATTTCAAAGAACCAGCTCCTGGTTTCATTAATTTGTTTTTTAGTTCTGATTTCATTTATTTCTCTTCTAATCTTCATTATTTCCTTCCATTGGCTTTGAGTTTTGTTCATTCTTCTTTTTCTAGGTCCTTTAGGTGTAGGGATAGGTTGCTTGACATTTTTCTTACTTCTTGAGGTAGGCCTGTATTACTATTATCTTCCCTCTTAGAACAGCTTTTGCTGCATCCCAAAGATTTTGGACCATTGTGTTTTCATTTTCATTTGTCTCCATGTATATTTTGATTTCCTCTTTGATTTCTTTGTTAACTCATTCATTGCTTAGTAGCATGTTAATTAATGTCCACGTATTTGTATTCTTTCCAGACTTTTTCTTCTGGTGATTTCTAGTTTCATAACATTGTGGTCAGAAAGATGTATGATATGATTTCAATCTTTTCAAATATGTTGAGACTGAGGCCTAATGTGATCTGTTCTGGAGAATGTTCCATGTGCACTTGCAAAGGTTGTTTTGGATAAAACGTTCTGAATATATCTGTTAGCTGCCATCTGGTTCAATGTGTCATTAAAAGTTACTGTTTCCTGTTGACTTTCTGTGTGGATGATATCTCCATTGCTTAAGTAGGATGTTTAGATCCCTTACTATTGTTCTATGACTACACATTTCTTCTTTTATGTTCCTTAATAGTTGCTTGATGTATGTAAATCATACATGTGTACTTAACTGCCATTTTGTTACTTGTTTTAGGGTTGTTTTTGTAGTTTTCTGTTACTTCTCTTGCTCCCTTCTTTTGTGGTTTGATGGCTTTTTTTTGTGATATGCTTAGATTCTTTTATGTTCATTTTCTGTTTATCCATTATAGATTTTTGATTTGTGTTTACCATTAGGTTTATATATAATATCCTAAGCATATACCAATCTATATTAGGTTGATGGTCACTTTGAATCGATACTAAAAGCACTAAATGCTTACTAGCCCTCATGCAAGTTTTATGTATATGGTATCATACATTATATCCTTTTATTTTGTGAATCCCTTGACTGATTTTTATGGATGAAACTGGTATTACTGCTTTTGTGTTTTAACCTCTGTGTTTTTTTTTTACATTTACATTCCAGTTTAGTCAACATACAGTATTATATTCATTCCAAGTGTACACTATAGGGATTCAACAATTTCATATATTACTGTGTTCATCAAGATCAGTACGCTTAATCCCCTTCACCTGTTTGTCTCCCCATGACCACCACCTGCCTGCCCTCTGGTATCCATCTGTTTGTTCTCTATAGTTAAGATTCTGGAGGAGGAAGGCAAGATAGCAGAGAAGAAGGAGCTCTGCACATTTCACTCGCCCCCATCTCTCAAACAGAGAAGGCCTGA